TGAGTCCAGGTATTGTTAATTTTGTTGTGAGTCATATCCTCTTCTTAGCTAAATTTTTTAAAGATAATTCCCTAAACTACATTTAAACAAAGAGACATGGTCATGCTGCCTGAAAGTAACAAATGATGTTATTGTGTGCCATTCCCATTAATTTCAGTAGTCGTCAAAAGCAGATTTGGAGAGAAAGAGGAAGATCTATTTTATACAGAAGGATCAAATATATTGTCAGTTATATCCTCTTCTTAGCTAAACTTTTAAAGGTAATTCCCAAAACTATATTAAAACAAACACACATGGTCATGCTGCCTGAAAGTAACAAGTGATGTTATTGTCTACCGTTCCCATTAATTTCAGTAGTCGTAAAAAGCAGATTTGAAGAGAAAGAGAAAGAATGACTAATCATGTGAAACTAAATATGTCTAAATAAATATGTCTGTTTTTATAGCATTATTTAAATTTGGTAGCCACAGTAGGTTTTTTAAAACATTATTGTATTTATTTCTGAGCCAAGGTGTTGTTAGTTTTGTTGTCAAGTCAAAAAGAAAACGTAAATAGCAACAGACAAAAAATATTTATTAAAATGAGAGAGAAAAAAATAGGAAGAAAAGTTACAATCACCATAAACGGAAATAGGTGCGACAAAATAAAACTGTCGGCTGTTCTTGAAAATGACGTCAAGTTAGTTGTTAACCGGGGCCATAAATGGCTTGTAAAAATTAACGTCTCCCAAATCAAACTGCTATACTTAAATAAACACAGAGAACATTTTCTGTCATCCTGGATAAGACGATAAACTACAACCACGTCCTTGGTAAGACGATAAACTACAACCCCGTCTCGGGTGGGACGATAAACTAGATCCGCGACCTGTGTAAGACGATAAACTACATCTGTGCCCTGGGTAAGACGATGAACTACATCCGCGTCCTGGGTAAGACGATAAACTACATCGGCGTCCTGTGTAAGACGATAAACTACATCCACGTCCTGGGTAAGACGATAAACTACATCCGCGTCCTGTGTAAGACAATAAACTACATCCACGTCCTGACAAACTACATCCACGTCCTGGGTAAGACGACGATAAACGATAAACATCCGCGACCTGGGTACGACGATCTACATCCGCATTCTGGGCAAGACGATAAACCCGCGTCCTGGGTAAAGACGATAAACTACATCCGCGTCCTGGGTAAAAACCACATCCACGTCCTGGGTAAAACGATAAACGACATCCACGTCCTGTGTAAGACAATAAACTACATCCACTACATGGGTAAGGCGATAAACTACATCCGCGTCCTGTGTAAGACAATAAACTACATCCACGACCTGGGTAAGACGATAAACTACATCCAACAGTAAGGCCTCTCTGATCAGGAGGTTTTGAGGAGAGTGAAACCACCTCTCAATTGCTGGTGTTCCCAGCTCCACCTTGACACGGGGTGATTGCAACTGTTAGGATCCCATTTATGCGTAAATAGTTAACTCCCAAACTGGGGTCAAAGCACTATCAATGATACAACAATATTCTTTACACCAATACAGCGCATTCTTACTTACCATTTCTTACCTCATCCCCCATAATACCTCAGAATCTCCATTAAGTCCTAACTAGTCCGCATATGTATTCATTGTCTTAATAAAACAACAATTTAAAATCTACTCCCAATATGCATTTACAATATGAAAACAAAACTACCATAGCGAAGAGCTCGTCCGAATAATTACCATGAAAGTATTGATAGAAAAGACACAGAGAAGCAACCTTACGACGGTGGGAAAGTTATTGGAGCCAAGCCGTCAGATCAAGACCAATAATATTGCTGATTCTTCTTTTAATCTTTTCAAAGAGCTCTAGGTAAATAGCAGAGACACCGGGCCATATTCGGCAGCAATGTTTTAAGCATAGATGAATAGTAGACTTATAGATATGTAAAATAGATTCTGGAGAGAAAATTTGTCTTCGCACGACACAATGAACCAAATTTCTTAGCAGCTGACCTTGCAATGGATTCAATATAATCTTTCCACTTCATGTTAACTGGGAAAGTTAGAAAGTTTAAATTTTTGCAGATTAAAGTTGTCTGGAGATCATTGAACCGGAAGGGAGTTCCACAAGCGAGAAGTAGGAGAAAAGAAACTGTTAGTATAGAATTTAAGGTTACATCGAGCCAACTCAACTGTAAAATGATGAGATCTCGCCGCTAGTCAAGTACTGAGCTTAAATTCATGATGTCTAGGTGCCATAGCGTAGAGTTCATCCAAACAATTACCATGAAAGTATTTGCAGAAAGGACATAGAGAGGCAACCTTGCAACGGTGGGAAAGTGACTGAGGCTGTCAAATCAGTTTGTGTCGTTTCTACCAATATCGGTGATAATTTCCCGACTCAACATAAAAGAAGATGGCCTTGTGCCACATCTTACCTCGTGGGGAGGTTGGTAAATATATCAACCTAAAAGAAGATTGATTAAGTAGCACACGTTCTCTCTGTTGTCATTCACCAATCGGGTCTCCCACGTTAATCGACCTTGTGTCATATCTTGATTTAGTGGGAATCAAGTAAATACCATTCACCAACAGCTGACTGTAAGTAGTCACATAAAAGTTCATTCCATTTTTTCAATCTTTTTGCAGGGGAGACAACTTGTTATTTCTATTATGTGAATTATTCCCCCTGAATCGTTTTTTTTTTTTTTAAGGAATCAACTGTACTCGGGATCATTGACACAATGCAAACGATCCTTTCCTTAACTGCATAGTAAGTGCTTCTCCAGGGCTACATACTGTTTTGAATTCAGTTTTTCTTCTCCTAGACAGGTTGCCACCCTGTCTGTCCTACTATTTATCAAAAATTGTCGGAGGAAAAAAATCAGATTCATAACTTTCTCAAGGGTATTTGCACGTATTTCACTTACATTCCATCGCACATGTAGTGAGATTGTTCCTCACCATGTGTCACAATATGACAGCTTTCTACTAGACAAAACTAATATCAATAAATAATTAAAATAATACAAAGTACATTAGGATACCTGCCGTAGAGCAACAACCCCGCTTTGTAGAGCATTGGAAGGGTAGTGAGCGGATGCTAGACTATACGAAAATGAGATTCTTAAGGGAGATATTTCAAATTAACACCAAAGGCCATTGTTCTAGTCTAAATTCAGAGTTAGAGCTTTAAATGCTGATTTTTAAGACAACGAGACAGTCCGGACATTCAACCTTAGTGAGGCGATTCTGAGCGAATTAGAAGTCCTAGTAGAATACGCAGAGGGGGGGGCAGACGAAAGCAGCGTGTGACCGAGGCAAAGAGCTTGTTTAAATGGTAGGCAGGACAGGGATTGGGAGATATAGAAAAAAGACAAACATTGCTAAGAGCTACAAAGGATTGAAATTTGTGGGGAGCTATGATCGGCCACACCCTGAAGGAACACGGCACACAAAAGAAGAAGAGGCCGTCCCTCTGTTCAGTTCTGGTAGTTAGCTTTTTGCTGTAGCAAAATTTGAAAAAAGAAGAGAGTAATGGTTAACAACTGACATATTATTATTATAGTGACTTCTACAATAGATAGATAGATAGATAGACAGATAGATAGAAAATGAATATAAATAAATAGTTAAATAGATAATGAACATTGATAGATAGATAGATAGATAGATAGATAGATAGATAGATAGATAGATAGATAATGAACATAGGTAGATAGATAGATTATGAGCAGATAGATTGATATATATATAGATAGATTATGAACAAACATAGATAGATAGATAGATAGATAGATAGATAGATAGATAGATAGATAGATAGATAGATAGAGATAGATAGATAGATAGATAGATAGATAGAGAGAGATAGATAGAATAGAAATAGATAGGCAGATAGATAGATAGATAGATAGATCATGAACAGGCAGAGAGAGAGAGAAAGACAGAGAGTGAATAGACATAGATAGATAGATAGATAGATAGATAGATAGATAGATAGATAGATAGATAGATAGATAGATTATTATTTATTTGCGATTCGTCCAACTTTCTGACGGTTGCAGAATGCTTTATTTGTAATGAAAGGCAACTGTGATTCAGACTGAAGAATTGCAAGTGGAAAAAATGAATAATAATTGACAGCGTTTGATCGAATCATACAATTGAAGATACTATTATAGTCCTGCGAATCCATATGACAGACATTCTTCCACAAGCATCCGGCAAACATTTGTACCGACCTGCGAAACCCAAACGATTTTGGCATCGCCTCTCCTTACCTCTTGCGTTGTGGACAGATCCTCCTTTAGCTTTTTGCTTTCTTCCCTGTACGAAGTGGTCATCTTTTCGATCATCAAATCGTGTTCGTCCATCACGTCCATTCGTTCCTCTCGTTCCTTCTTCAGTTCTTCTTTCAGGTTCTTTATCTGATCCTGATAGATTCCTTCCATCGATCTGTACATCATTAAAACAAATATTGAACAATTACAATCAACGGATAATAAAACCACAATCGTCTTAGGTTATTTCGATCTTTGTTCTTCTGTCTGGGAAGTTGAGGTGGGCTAGCATCATTAACCTGAAGTGTGACCCCCCCCCCCTCCCCCAAGGAGATTTGCCGTGGGAGCTTGAGCAATTTTTTCGCGGTATTGCCGGTAAACCGACCATAAACCTCGACCTTGTATCACATTCGGTAGCGATGTAGGAGCACTGAAAATACCCCATGTATCTTGGCTAGCTACGATCATTGTCTGTGATGGACGTTACTCCATAGAAGCGTACGAAAATTGTAACGCTGTACGAACACACTGGCAAGCGTTACCATTGAGCAAATCAAATTAATATAGATTGGCCCGGAAACTCTCCTGATTTAAATCCAATCGAGAATCTATGGTCCCTTTGCAAGGAACGACTTCGTGGAATAGACATAAGAAGTACTGACATGTGCACTGGTTCATGGTTCATTGGAAAAATACGAAAAAAATAACGGAATTATTCGTTTTGTTTCAATTAATTTCCACAAGGGTGTAGATAGATAGATAGATAGATAGATAGATAGATAGATAGATAGATAGATAGATAATGAATAGGCTGAGATAGATAGATAGATAGATAGATAGATAGATAGATAGATAGATAGATAGATAGATAGATAGATAGATAATCAGAATGGCATAGATAGATAGATAGATAGATAGATAGATAGATAGATAGGTAATGAATAGGCTGAGATAGATAGATAGATAGATAGATAGATAGATAGATAGATAGATATGAATAGGTTGATAGATATGAACAGACATAGAGAAAGAGGGAGAAATGCTAACAGAGATAGATAGATAGATAGATAGATAGATAGATAGATAGATAGATAGATAGATAGATAATGAATAGGCTGAGATAGATAGATAGATAGATAGATAGATAGATAGATAGATAGATAGATAGATAGATAGATAGATCCTTGTGCAAATTAAGTAAAGCAACAACATTAGTTTCCTTTCTTTAAACATACGGTCAGTTTTAGATCCACTGGAGTGACAGGGTGTAATCGATTTCTATTTTCTCCTCAGATTGGGTCATTTGCAGCGGTGTGCAGTAATATGAATCTATTTTTGGAGTTATGATGAAAATTGTTTGGCCTTGAAAAATATTGCGTCATCCGTGATTGCATCAAATTTTATCACACCTAGATACTATTGTTTCGACTGTCGATTAGTTGTCCTACGGCCATTGTCAGCAATGGACGTTACTCCAAGGAAGCGTACGAAAATTGTAACGCTGCACAAACACACTGGCAAGTCTTACCATTGAGCAAAAACAAAGTACAATAGATTGGCCCGAAAACTCTCTTCATTTAAATCGAATCGAGAATCTGTGGTTAATCTGCAAGGAACGACTTCGTGGAATGGACATACGAAGTACTAACACGTGCACTGAGTCATGTTTCATTGGAATAATACGAAAAGAAAGTAAATAATAATGGAATTATTGTTTTTGTCTCAGTTAATTTGCACAAGGGGGTAATAATATTAAGTTCTTCTACGTAAACGAGTAAATTAACTCGATACGTCCCTAAATTCTAAACGAGAGAGCACATTATTATGATGATACAATTTAGAATCCCAGTATAAGAGATCTCAGAATTTTATAATATCATACCGGGTGTAACGACAAAATTGTCTAAATCGTGTACCATCATAATTATCCATCCCACAAAATGTTTAATATCTAAAAAAAGACAACACAAAATTAATCGAGTTTCTTTTTCCCAGGCTTTTCAGATAAGACGTTTAGCCATCTTGACACCATTTGTCGTAAGACTCACTGAAAAACCCGTTGAGTTATTCAGCAAGAAAGAGAACAGGTTAAAATCGTTTTGTGTCAGATCCACTACATATTCCCAACTAAGCATTGGTGAGAGCAAAAAGGTCATTTAGGCCTTCAGTAATGGTACCAACACTCATACTTCTGGCTTCCATCTTCAAAGTTCATTCAAGGACGATCAAGAGAACGGTGAATAAGTTTAAAAAAGAGGGAACAATAAAGAGAAAAACTGGATCAGGAGATCACAACAGGAAGAGGGATCATCATTTCAATATAGAGATAAAGAGATAAATTAGAAAAGATCCAACTCAATTCATAAGACGTTCGGCACGTGGGAGAGGAGTTTCAGCTATGACAGTCCAAAGAGCAGTGAAAAAAGACTTGAAAATGAAACGTGTGAGGAAACTTGTTACTTCGGGACAGAAAGTTAAAGGTTAGAGAGGGCGAAGATCATCTTGAATAAGTTGGGAAATGATCCTGCAATATATATATATATATATATATATATATATATATATATATATATATATATATATATATAATCTTTATTTCAATCCTCCATGAGCTTCCGATCCTTAGCTGTGATTAATTAATGATGAACAAGTCATTTTCGTTTATGATCGATTTCATCATGATACTTCTGTTAAGCTTGGAGAGTTATTACACATTCTTATTGCTCAAAGTAGAGTCCAACAGTGTTATAAAAAACCTTGAAGAATTCCAGTAAGATATCTTTAATCATTTCTAAGATATAACGGTTCAAAGCTTAATTTAACAAATGGACAATTTTGCTATAACACCCGATATATATTTTCTTTAAATTTAATTGATAAAAAGACAAAATAAGTAAAATCTAATAGAAGGGAGATAATCCAAACTGTAGTCAGTAAAGACTGTTATCGATTGTCTAATATTCACCAATCACTACTCTTGCTACAGTTCTCCATTCATGCTAGCTTTCTATTTCTTGATTGGAAATTACCAAGTAAAGACGTGAATTTCTGTTTGAATTTCTTGGATGAGGAATTATCATTATTTACACTATTTACATTCGGACTATCGTCCTCATCTTTGTTGTTGCTATGACAACGTTTCGACCATTGTACCCTCCTCAGGTGTATATTGGTCTGGGTAACCTACAGGGAATGCTGAACTGAACCCTTTATTTAATCTCCAGGGTAGACTGTTCTCTTTCCACTGCTCATGTCTAGGGATATTTCGTCTAGTTCTTATTTTTAGTACTGCTTTGGGAAAATTAAATAAAACCAATAAATAAAATAATAATAAAGAATAAAAACATAAATTAATTCATTTTCCCAAGATGCAAGTTATAAAGAAACTAAAAAGAGTTTCCGGTCAAACGTGCGATTTTATGACCCCACTTCCGGAAAGGACAGAATCTTTCATTTTCATACGAGATCGTGTAATCGTTTTTTTTTTTTTTTTTTTTTTTTCAGCAGCCCTACTCATGAAGTAGGGATTCGGCCATCCCAGCTGAGTGCGAGGCTGACTTGAGCTCGACCGTCTTTACCCGTTCTTAACTTTACTTCCCATAAATTATTTCTGAACCCCGAAAAGATAATAGACATACTCAAGAGACATTTAATTTTGTTTCAATACAGTCAACATAAACGAAATAAACGTCCTTAGCAGAAAAACAAGTTTTTTTCTGTATTTATCTTCTTTTTTTTTATTTATATAATGAACACGCACTTTCACCTAAAAAAATACACACAAAACCCATAAACTTTGTTAACATCCCCACTGATTAGCCATTTCTCGCCCTGTTTCCACTGAGTTCAAATACACACTGCCTGGCTCAGGGGTTGAACTCACAATTACTTTATCACCAAATAAGGGAAGTAATTCATGGACGGTATTATCCCCCTCAAAAATATGAGCTAACAATGATCATTTTATGGGGTCTGGCTCATTTGTCATTTGTTCGAAAACTGACTTCACCGAAAGCTTTAAATCGAATTTTTACTTCATCGAGCGGTCCACTTCAGCGAAGTAGAAACGGAGAATATTAAAGGGAGATAACTTTCATATCTGAGTAGTCCTTTTCTTAAATCATGTATTGGTTAAAATTATACTCGTTAATTTGATTGTTGCTTATTTACGATAATTAGCAACTGACAGGTCATTTGGTTTGTTTAAGAGAATCATTTGGTTGAAATCAGTTAAAGCCAGGAAATTGTTTTTTTCAGGCAATTAAAGTAAAATATAAATAAAAGACGACTGAAATCAATAAAAAAGAGTAATATGAATTAATACGTTTTTTTTAATATTTAATTCATTTATAGGAAATAATTCCTATTTCAAACTGAACACAAGAGAAGATGTGGCTATATAGCTTTTTCCTCCGTTCACAGTGCGTGCTGAAAGAAACATGTGTGGCTATTTCAAACAAATCAGCTATAACAACAACAGCTTGGAAGGTCAGTGGTGAATCTTCGCTGATGATCATGTGTCGGTGACTTCAATCGACAGTCAGTGCATCTTCGCTGACGATAAAAGTCTTTTCTAAAAACGCATTTTTTTCTGTGGACTAACTATTTATATATCTTTTCTAAACTACAGCCTTTTCTGTGTATCAGTTACCCTAAGAATTTAACTCAACTAAAGACCATTTTTAATACTTTTTACTTTTTTAAATTCATCTACATGTGTTTGTAGATACAAATTATTTATTTAACAGGCATGTGACCATGTTTTTCTTATTTCTATTTTATTATTGTTTGGAATTCGGACGTTAGAATTTTAAATATAAAAATCATGGACGACCAAATTTCTTACATATTTACGCATGTATTTTGGATAGGACAAATGTTGTAGCATACCTACGGACGATAATGAGTATGTCCCAATTCACATAAATACAGTAGTAAATACTGTATGTTGGTCTGCAGTTGAAGATTTGTCTATGCTGCTCAAACTCTCTGCCTCTGGGCAAAGAGGATCCCCAGACGAGGCTATGTCGAAGGGCAGAGTCTCGTCTCGGGAAACAGCTACCCGTTTTATATGGGTCTATGGGAATTTTTGGCCGAGCCTACGGGCTTGGATACTCCACATTAAATTTGGCCTTGTGCCACATCTGACCACGCGGGGAGGTTGGTAGATATCCTGCAGCTGGACATTCGTCTCCAGCCATGCTGGTCAAATTCTCTGCCTCCGGACAAAGAGGATCCCTAGACGAGGCTATGTCGAAGGGCAGGGTCTCGTCTCGGGAAACAGTTACCGACTCTGTTTTATACAGAGTCTACGGGGAATTTTGGGGCTCGGATACTCGACATTAAATTCGGCTTTGTGCCACATATGACCGCGTGGGGCGGTTGGTAGATATCCTGCGGTTGGAGATTCATTGTGGAATTCACTTGACTCACTTCTAGCAGTTGACGAATTCTCCTCGCGCCGCTGGCGAATCTTATATGTGTTGTTGGTGTCCTTAGTATTATCGTTCATTACCAACTTTCGTTTGATTATTCTATTCAGTAACCTTTCCTAGGTTACAACATCAAATATTTAAATGGGGTTGTTTTTCGTTATTTTTTAATCGTTTTTAAACATTCCTAAGATAAAACCAAATTATTTGGCAACATTATTACGTGAAGACTTCAGCGATGAATTTATGGAGAACAAACGTATCCATTATCATAAATAAATAACTTTTTTTAAAATGATACATGATTTTTAAAAAAGCACTATTCAGATTTAAAAGTTATCTCCCTTTAACTTTCTAACTTTTGATTTTTCCATGAAATGAACTATTCGTCGAAGTGAAAAGTCGATTTAACGCTTTCGGTGACGCCAGTTTTCGGGCAAATGACATTTTTTGAATTTATGATGGCTTCTTAAAATGATGTGTCTGAATGTCTTTCGAATCATTAAAAAGGATTTTCCAAACATAAGACAAAATAGACACTTGCAGAACTTTAGTTTGTAAGGTTTTCTCCAAAGCTGCATGGCGTTCGTCATCTTCTTCGGCTAAAATTTGGCTCCTGATGTTTGACTCTCGAAGACCAATGATTAGTCGATCTCTCTCCGCCGAAGCCTGATCCAATAAGTTCCTTTCAAAGAAAACGAAGAAAACATAATATGAATTGGGAAACAAATATCCATATTTTTCAATCTTTTTTTTACAGCAAAACAAATAAGAGTACAAAGAAAATCGTTGTTGAAATTTAACGTAGACCTTCATTTTTTCCTACGAACTCTCTCTTCTTCAAAATCCAAATTTTGATTCAAAGCAAGCAGTAACTGTACTAATACCCCTCCTGTCCGTGATATTCCCAGCATTCGTCGATAGAACACCATCTCTGTCGCCTTAAAACGCTTCTACATTTATGAGATGTATATTATATTTTTATAAATAAACTAGCAGCATGGACCGGCGTTGCCCGTGCTTGATTCAAAAATCGTACAACTCATGCAGCAATCGCTATCACTTGACTTAAAATATTTTTGCCCTTCCTTGCCTTTAAAGGAGTGCCCTTTGCCGTGCTGATGTTGTTACATGCCTTACTTCTTGCCTATCTCACACTGCGATTTTTTTTCTAAGCTCTATACTAAACATTAAATCTGTTACGAAAAAAGAAATAAACAAAATGAACACAAAATGATCAGCTTTAAAAAAAGAACTCGTAACTGGAAAAACCGAATGAAAAAAGAATGTTAACAACAAATACTTTTTCACACCCAACCCAGTTCTGCGGAATCAGAATCAACGTTGAGTTTAAGCAAGCGAATGAGCCAATTGGAGTAAAGTGCCATGCAGATTTAAATTTTTCCCACTTGTGACGAATGCAGCTATCGATATTTTTGCGTGCTAGCATGCAAGTTAACATTCGTGTCAGTCAGCTGTTGGCGCTCATGCTGGCCAATAGAATCTTCCTGCCTATTCGTGGCAGCCAGCTATTGGTTCTCACTCTGGCCAGTACAAAATGGCCACAAACTACATGAAAACTGCCATAGAAGCATGGAAAATCGATTATTTCCACTATCGATGGGAGTTGGGAAATGCAAAGTCGGTCTTGGCCTTTCCACTTACTTGGATCATGTGCATGTAAATTTTAGTGCAAATCCGTGGAAAATTGCGGCCGTGCATTCGTTACACACACACACACACACACACACACACACACACATCATGCCTTTTATAGATAGAGATGATATATACATATAAAATTTGCATAGAATTAAAGGACTTATTTTTAATCCGACATTTTTATTGCTTCAAAGTGTCTACTATATTGACGTTTGAAGTAATAAATATATTTAAGTAAATGCTCTGTTTATAATAAACAGTATTAAACAACATTTACCGACCTGAATGTCCGAGATATTTTCATAGAAAATATGTGTCTTCCAACAGGAATCGAACCTGTATCCTACACGGAACAATCATAAAGCCTGATATGCTGTACCAACTTAGCTACAGAGGAGCGTCTTGGTTAGCAAGGTCGATTTACTGCTTTTAAACTACAATTATTCATGATTTCCCTTGAACGTCCATATCTGCTCGAAGCGTGTCTTAACGTAAACAAATGACGTCACACACTATGAAATGGACAAAGTTCGACAATTATTTTAAGTTAACTTAAAATTAATTAACGTAAAATAATTGTCGGACATTGCCCATTTCGTAGTATATATATATATATATATATATATTTTTATGTTCATATATTCTATTTTTATATATATATTTAAGAAATGCTCTTTTATAATAAACAGTATTAACGACATTTACCGGCCTGAATGTAGATAAAAATATTTATAGAAAAATGCTCTGTTTATAATATATATATATATATATATATATATATATATATATATATATATATATAATTGTGTATTTCTCATCAGAATAAAATGCGATAAGATAGATAGATAGATATATATATATATAGATAGATTTATTTTAACGTATTCTTTATTTAAACTTGACTGATCTACTAGATAGATCATGAACAGACTGAGATAGAAAAGATAGATAGATAGATAGATAGATAGATAGATAGATAGATAAAAAAATGGGGATATAGAAATCAACACATGGTGACTATCAGTTTCCCCCTTAATGTGATCTTCAATCAACAGTGTCTACGAACGCTCAATCCCTGATAATTAACCCTATTTCGCCATAAAGATAGTAACTTTTAAATATAGATATATAATATAAATTGCTATGTTTAAGATATAAATAATCTATGTTTAATAATATAAATTTCTAGTTTAAAATGTAAATATACAATATAAATTGCTCTGTTTAAGATTTAGATTTAATTTTTCAATGGTTTATACCTTTTTATGCTTTCTACTCACCGTAGGTTTTTACATTCTTGCAAACAGGTGATGATGGCGGCTTGCAGCTTGGGCGTGTGGTCAGCAGTAAATAGCAGTTCGTCCTCCAGGACTGCAGCCAACTTAGCATGGCTTAATTCACGATCAGCTTCAAAACCGTAAGACTATAAAGAGGTCAGAAACATCGGTATGAGACATGGGACATAAATAGACTGTATAAGATAGATAGATAGATAGATAGATAGATAGATAGATAGATATGAACAGACTGAGATAGATAGATAGATAGATAGATAGATAGATAGATAGATAGATAATGATATATTTAAACTTACCATTGTTGATAACGGGCAAAACTTTGCCCAGTGTATCGTTTATGACTTTCGACGGATAATATGAAAATTATGCATTATTAGTGTAAACACATCCATAAATCTTTTTCGCCTTGCAGATTTTACGAGTACACGAATGGAACCAACTCTAAACGGATGAACATAATGTGATTACCAATTGTGGGGAGACTACCTACCGCGAAAATTGGTCCTTGATACACCCGGCTTGATCTGAGTTCGAACAGTGACAAGAAGAAGAGGATCGAAATAAGAAATTATTCAGACGCCATGTAAAAAGACCGTGACAAGATAGAAATTCTCTTTGGCAGGAATTTAGTCAAGAAATATAGGAAAAACAGAGAAAGCCATGTAAATAGATCATGGAATAAGATAAATAAATAAAAAATATGGTACAGTAGAATCCCTCATATCCGGAATCCCTCATATCCGGAATCCTCATATCCGGAGTGTCTCATATCCGGAATCCCGCATATCCGGACATGATTTTGATGTGTATATTTGAAGTAATTGGGTGATATGTAACTGATTTGAAATTTCTGTTTTTCAGGAAAGTTACTTTGGATAATTATTTATGCTTACTTCACACTAATGGTTTTCTACTACATTCGTTTCCATTCAAATACGTACAGAAAAATGTGCGATACTGTGATTGGAACACACATAAACAGGGAGCAAATGTGAGATTTTATCACGATCTCAACTGTTTCATGTTTTATAGCCGGTAAACGCAGTCTCTGAAGTAGAGTCTTCCAAGCGGCACCCACTTCACCGAAGGAAAACAAAAGAAGAACTAATTAAATGAAAGCCTTTAAGGTCAAGTGACAAAAGGCGTGAAAATTCCTCTTTGGAGGGATTGTAACGCAGACTTATCATCTCTCAGTTGCGTCTCTGTCTTTGGGCAGAGTGTGCTTAGGGGCGACTCTGTCAAAGGACAGAGGGGCAACTGAGAAAATAATACTGAGAGGTGCCCAGCCCTGGGGAACAGCTTCCAGAGGCCGCGTCCTCCCATTGCACCGGAGAGATGGATCGGTGCTCGCACCGAGGCCAGCGCAACCGTCGGTTGCGGGGGCTGTGGGGAATTTTTGTCCCTTGCCCGAGTGTACGCGCTTGGGTCCCCACTTTAAAAAGACCTTGTGTCACATCTCGTTCTGGTGGGGGAACGAGTAAACACCGTGACACAAAAAAAACGGAGAAAAAAAAAATCCGGACCGGATGATTTTCCGATGACCTATATTAATATTGAATAAGAGATAGTCAGTATTGGTCCGCCATTGACGGAGGTGAGAGGTAGTTCCGATGCCGCTCGTTCCTGATGTAGACAACCATGTGTGATGTTATTGTTCGTGATGTGGAGATGAGCAAAGAGTTGGTAGGAGGAAAAGTCCCAAGTGCCACCCGTCAAGACTGAGCAGGCGAAACTCTGAATAAAACACATAAAAATCGTAAAAACAGAGTTCGAATCCTCGTTTCTCGTTTGTTTTTATCTTTCGTTTCCTTGTGAGCGTGCAGCGGGCCCTTTCCCAGTATTTGGGACACACCGACGTGAACGAGAATAGAAACGCAACGTGCGGTAGTCATTGGCCGGTCGGGACCAGTTGTATTTATTACAAAAGATCTATTCTACAATTCGTGAAAGTAACGAGCATTTCTCCTGTCAACCCTTTTTCTAAAGACAATCCCGCCAATGATAGGCCGAGGAAGCGGGTCCACAAGATGTACGGCTCGATACGAAGAAACTGATTAAACCAGACGAGTGTTTATAAATTGGGCAACATCTTTCAAATTCCGATGTTTATGTGCAGGTTTAATTAGAGAAGCATACACTTGATAGATCGTTACATTTAGTATCAAGAATAACATCAAAATGAACCAGAATCTTCAACTTACCTTCAAAACGTCCACAGCATTAGGGATTCCGTAACCCTCCCATAATTCCACTAAGTCTTCACCCTTGATACGCCTGCCAACAAAATAAGATCTGTTGTGATAAATGCTGAAATAACAGACGAAGGAAAGAATTACTATGAGAATAAGTCAAAAATTATCTGCCCTTTCGCCATAACATATCTTTAGGTTTGTCTCACTGCCTTCTGCTCATGCGTGCTATGTATTATTGTGGTCACATGATCGAAGTTTAAGCTTAATCGCACCAGTTTTCTTGCTGCTGTTACAGTATAAACATGGCCGCTCCGCTAGCAGTGTGCACCCAGTGAGGAACAAAGGACTGTGATCCGATTTCTCTAGTATATTTAACAGCCCGACCTCCCCCACGAGGGTCGTATGTAGCACAAGACCGAGTTTACCGTTGGTTCGGCCAAAAATATTCCCTTCAAACCCGTATAAACGGGTTCAGGGTCGGTCTAGCTCCCCGAATAAGTCTCTACCCTTCGGCATAGCCTCGTCCGGGTTCCTCTCTGCCCGAGAGGCAGAGAGTTTAACCGTACAGCTGAAAAGATTTCTCTGGTCGGAATGTATGTCAGAGGCTGAATTTCAGGTGGGGGAGGGGCTTTTAACACAATATTTATGGCTGTAGGGGTTTCTGCGTGTTTGATAAAGAAATAAATGAATATTCAAAGATGGATCTACTAATTTCAATTTTTCATTTATTTGAGTATTATCTTTCTTTCAAATTGAAACAAATGAATTAATTTCATTTTTAAAGTAAAATGGAATGAATTGCATTAGTACATATATATATATATATATATATATATATATATATATATATATATATATGAACAAATACTTGCACGTACGTATAAATATATTTCTTCCTCAGGTGTCATAAAATATATATATATATATATATATATATATATATATATATATAAATATATGGATATAGATCCGACAAAACAAACAAAAATCCTTATATACAATTATGCAGTTTTAATGTTAATATGTCAACGTCGGACGTTTCGGTCTAATAAACCATCTTCAGGACATATTGTATTCAGTTGTATTGATAATGTTATAATTTATGAATATGTCCTGAAGATGGTTTATTAGACCGAAACGTCCGACGTTGACATATTAACATTAAAACTGCATAATTGTATATAAGGATTTTTGTTTGTTTTTTCCGTATATATTTTTTTCTTCATATATATATATATATATATATATATATATATTAAAAGGCTTAAACACTAATATTAGTGTTAAAGCCTTTTTATTATATCCCTACTCTGTCCTGGACATTAAGTTCTACCTGGATTCTATCCTCTTGGAATTATTTTTTATACAAATATATATGTATGTGTATGTATGTATGTATATATTAATATATTTTAGATATATGATTGCATATGTATGTGTATATTTACCACTAATAATATCTATATCTATCTATCTATCTATCTATCTATATATATATATATATATATATATATATATATGCACAAATACTCACACATACGTATATATATATATATATATATATATATATATATATATATATATATATATATGCACAAATACTTCCACGTACGTATAAATATATTTCTTCCTCAGGTGTTATAAAAATAGTGCTCACTGTTATGAAACAGAGCTATAAGTATATATTAGTGAATATACATAAAGTACAAAGTTTGAAGTGCCGGCATGTAAAATATTTCAAATAAAGCTTTATATATATATATATATATATATATATATATATATATATATATATTGATATTTTCAAAATCGGGTATGATATACCCATGGTTAGTAGGGGTGTGACTTTAAATTAATAAATAACGGAACTACTTTGCAGCTAGAGCAAACCATCCTTGAGAACACCGGAATATTATTTAATATAACACGCACCTTGACAGAAGAAAAAAAGATATCACACACGCCGATAGCCTATTGATAAGTGTCTGACTCCCGTTATCCAACCATGAGAGTTTTAAATAAACTGGGGAAAGACAATGTATTACTAATGTTTTACTATAGGAATACATTGCTCATGCGGAAGAAACATTTTTAGTGATCAGGAATTAATGCAAGCTTTACTAGAAGAATAGAGCGATTAGATGTACAATGTAAAATGTATTGCTATTTTACTATAGAAATGTATTGCAAGTAAGGAATTGAGGCAACGTGCAAGCCTTACATAGCGATAAAAGGTGAGTTAAATTGCGTTACGTTTAAATTGTGTTTATGTATCAATATATAATGGTTGAGAGCACAAAGAATCACAAGATGTAATATTAGGTTAACCAGGAAGTCCTGACTCACTCAGGAAGCGGAAAGAAAACAACAAATCTTGATCTCTGTTTGGTGGAATTTCAGAGGAGTACAGCATTTCGAGCTTGTTCCACATGGTCGCGCCATTAATGCTAAGCTGTATTGCCAGCAGCTAGACAGAATGTACGACAAACTAAAGAAGGGGGTATCCTGTTTTGGTCAATTGAGGTCGGGCTTTGTTTCAGCAAGACAATGTGAGGCCACACACTTCCAGGTTGACTAAGGAGAAGTTCAAACAGATGGACGGTGTTCAGAATCTTCCACATCCACCATTCAATTCGGATGCTGCTATAGCCTACTCCGCTCAATGGCAAACTTCCTCCGCGACCAGAGATTCAACACTTTTAATGAGGTGAAGGAAGCTTGTTTACATTTTTTTAATTCAAAGCCAGCGGACGGGTATCTGGGACAGATTCGGATGCTGGCTGATCGCTAGCAGAAGATCGTTGAGAATGATGGACTTTATTTTGAAGAAGAAATGTTGGTTTTGCTGCATAAAATTTTCTTGTTTTCCTTCCGCTCCCTAAGTGAGTCAGGACTTTCTGGCCAATCTAATACAATGTCTTCTTACCTCCTATTGTTGACGTCCAACGTCGTGAAAGACAGGGAACTCTCTCCCTGTGACAGAAAGAAAGACTCGTGGTATGACATTCCAGTCTTTCTGATGAAGGAACGCCGACGCCGAGACTTGGTACGCGATACGTGGCTAGACGACGTGGACTGCGGCGACGGGGACCGAACACGGGTCGGCAGATGTTGTGCTGCGTTAAGGCTCTCATCGAACGTCGGCGTCGAATATTGAAACATCTCGTTAAGGAATTCATCGAACGTTACTTGACCGTCGCCGTCCGCGTCTAATTGGTCGAAAAGCTGGTGAACCTCCTATGGTAAAAATTAAAAAAAAAAAAAAAAGGAAAAGTGCAAGTAAAAATTCAAGCTTTGGTTAATAGGTTAGATTCCTATTCTTTTGTCAACGAGCAGGTCACTCAATAATCAATTATGTGACTTTAGCGCAATAAGAAAACACTTAAATGTGCACACTCAGCTCTTCTTCTCCACATGAAAAATTCTTGTAGATAACACTGCCATATTAAGAACTTCTAGTTGTAAAAAATGTTTGAAGTTATTAGAAGTACTTCTAAAAATAATAAAAATAAAACTAATCATCAGAAGACAGCCAGAATACAATAGCCGTGTTCTGAAACTAAGTAAAACTTCGCTAAAAAGAAAATTATTGCTATAAAAAAAGCCTCTGATACAAATTCTTTTTCTATGTGCCGTGTTCCTTCAAGACGTTGGAAATTATGGCTCTCAACAATTTCCTGTCTTTTGTAGCTCTTAATAAATGTTGTCTTTTATCCATCTCCTCTCTCAAACCCTGCCCCGCCATCTATTTACTCAAGTTCGCCAGACAGGTTGTTCGTTGCTTTCCTCTATTTTTTTTTACAGTCAATCTGACCTGTGCTTATCAATTTTTCCAGGCCCACTTTCCTCATTATGTGTTCCAGAAGTTTCAATTCCCTCTCCCACGTGTTAAGTATAACTGTCCTTTTGGCTGCCATCGTCTCTAGAACTTCGTCGTTGCTCTCACCATTGGCCCATGGTATTCTCAGCATCCTTCTGTAGAATCACAGTTCTGTTGCTTCAAGGTTCTTCTTCATCTGTGATATTGTCACTGCCATATAGAAGGACTGATACTACATAACAATTCAGTACTCTTTTATTTGTTTCTAATGATATTTTTTTTTTGTTTCTCACTACTTTGAAAATTACCCCACCTAAAAAATAACTGTATTAACCGAAAGCGTTCTAGAAAACCAACAATACGGGTCTTTCCTCACGTTCTTAGTCCTCAAAAAAAGAAAAACTGGTAAGTAAAAATTAAATAAAAAAGGACACAAAATATTCCTTGTCTGTCATATTTAACAAAACATGCATAAAGGATCTATATATAAATATATACAGGGTGTCCATAAAGTCTCTTTACAATTTAATAAATATATTATTAAGGCAGTTGATGATATATCTTAATCAGATTATTTTCAAAGTTTTTAATCACATTGCATTTGTGTATTTAAGGAATCCTGTTGATGAAAGAGGTACTGTTAAATGAACCCCTAACAATAACAGACTGGTGGATTGGGAGGGATGGCCTAATTCCCTGGCCACCTCGTTCACCAACGACTTCCCATACTTCATACTTCTCCAATTCACTCTCGTGTGGTCATGCGTGACGTCATGAGATGCGGTGCGATTTTCGCTTCTAGCGTCTTATATGCACGTGTTTATCGTTGCTAAGAAATCATATATGTAAACAATCACAGACTATCATCACTGTCTTGTCCGTATATTGCTTAATATGTTGTA